TTTTTTTTCGTTCTTTTCAATGCCTCCTATTAATCAAATAAACAAATAAACACAACAGACATCGTTTGACTTGCTTAAATGCACGCAAAAATTATTTTCATAAAGACTAAGTGTTTTCATTTGACATTGCACGCGTGAACAACAATAATAATTGACTGATGACGATGATGATAATAGTACGATTGCTATCTGTCGATTTTCTGTCATTTTATATTATAAATTCAAATTTGAAGAAGATCGATGTCATTTTTCTCTGATGTTTTATACTATAAATGCAGATGCGTGTCATTGTAAAACAAAAAAAAAGAAACGGATGTTTATATTCAATCCATATGTGAACTTTTTCGGCATCATTTATCCTAATGATACTTCTACGTAAAGTGATCATTGATGACTTCTATTCTATCCAAGTATATATTAAATAGAATGTTATAGTGTATGACTTACATATTTCAATTTATTTTTCCTATAGTTATAATAATTAAAAATTAAAATTGATAATTACATACAAATTTTCACGCTTCTTGAGTCTTGTTTAAATATTTCTAATAATTATTCACAATCATTATTGAAAATATTGATAGCATTTGTGATAAGAATAATGTTGGAATAGAAGAAAAGATCTTGTCAAGCTATGCATACACACGATTGTTGCTAAGACATAGTAAAAAGAAGAAAGCTACCATAAAGAGAGGAAAAAACGAAAGATAGAGAAAATTTATTCTCTTTTTTTTCTGTTTTTCATCCCCGGAAGAACGACGCGAGAGTAATGGTAATAGAACATAGAATGGAATGAAAAATGAATGTCTCGATTCTGTAAAAAAAAAAACGGAGAAGAAAAAAGAGAAGAAGAACTGTTGTCATCATTCAAATATCTTTACTTACAAGGATACATTTATTGATAATTTATATTGTATATATAGAATGATATGTATTTCCGTTTTAAAAACAAAACGTAGATATAAAAAAACGTAGTAAAATTAAAAAAGGATTACAAATCTATTCAATTGTAATGATGGTAATATAGTAAAGCAAAGGAAAAACAAGTTAATCATGCAAACTAATGATTTATTCTTAAAAGAGAAGTACACACTAGAAATGATTTAGTTAGACTATAACGACTTACTCAAAGAGAAAAAAAAGTAAATATGTATACATAGTTCAATTAGAACCAAAATTTGTTCTTGTTGAAATACAAGGATAGAAGATAAGAACAAAAATAACAACGGAAGGATGACACTCGATAAAAAACCAACTTCGACTGATTGAGAGAGATGCAAGTCGAAGAAAATAAAATGCAAGACAGCTACTATATATATGTACACAATGATTGACATCAATCAAGAAAACAAAAAACTTCTGCTATATACTGATGGCTAAATTTAGAAATTCCAAAAAAACAAAATATAACGATCGATAATTGCCCAAAAGAATTTTTGCTTTTTTTATTTCAAAGAAAATCTCTTAAAAATAATATATCCATTCATTTATGAATACATATTATAGAAAATCTTTTTTTTTCTAAAATGTTTCAACTTGTTGCTATTTTTTGCCTCGAATATCAATCAATAGTTTAACGAGAATAAGAAATATGTAAGCGTGTTTTATTTCTATGCACACTGTTGTCAACGAGAACACATGACATTGATTCATTCAGCGATATATATTTCTTTTTTTACTATGTAATTCATCGAAGAAAACGCTAGCGTTACGAATAGTTCGTTGACAACGGCAAAGATCGATCAAAACGATTTTGTCATCTATTACAGTTCTGTTATGTTGTTGTTAGCCTGTTTTTTTTTGGCGAACTAGCTCATATAATAAATAATAAAAAGAAGAAAAAAAAAAGGAAAGAAAGCACTAAGTAAGATGATGACAACGACTTTATGTGCATGTTCCGTCCCACAACGATGATGATTATGATTATGATGATGATGGTTACGATATCGTTAAGACATATAAAAGAATATGTAAATTTAAGAGGACATCTAAAGAATACAATGTCCGCTGCCGCTGGCTAGTTGTTTGCCTGACTGTCTTGAATCGCATACATTTTATCAATGAGTCGTTTCTGCATCTTTTTACTTCATTCTTGTTAACACACTAATTGAGAGGCGGCCGTCATACACTAGATTGCAACTCGAGAGGTTCATTTTGTCTCCTTCTCTCCCTCTTCTTTTTTTTGCCAAAAGAAAGTCAAAAAAAAAAAGAGCGCGTCGGGTGAATGGCGATAGCGAAAGGAAAGAGCGCGTCAAATAATCAATTTTAGATTCGACTTTTCTGTACTGTCGTTAGCATCGGCATATCCGTATTGTAGAAAGAAGAAAGAGACGGCGATACAAGAAAAAAAAAACTCTGATCTTCTCTCATGACAAATTAGTGAACGTGCAATGTTTTATAAAAGTAATAGCCATCTATTGGTATGCAATAGATTTTCTTACACTAGTATATTGTTTCTTTTGTTTTGTTATTATGTATACTTTACAATCTTAGACAAATGCAGATAGATTTTGATTTCCCATGTGATATAAAAAAAAAAGAAAACGTTAACGATACATAAGAATCAATTATCGATTTATTTTGTCAATGTATAAGATTTTATTGCTTTATATATATATATATTAGCCCAAAAAACAAAAGAAAAAGTTCACACGTAAAGATAATTATATGAACAAAATAGAAAATCATTTTCAAATATAATTAATAACGAAGATTTTCTTTACGACCTAATTTTAAGATCAATGTACTAAAGGAAACAAAAAAAAAGTCATGAATATCAATAATAAATAAAGCAATATGACAAACCTAATCAATATAGCAAGATTTTGACCAAAAATAGCTAGACCAGGATAAAATCTTTCTTTTTTATAAGTAACATAGTAACCAAATAATACCCAAGCACTAGCAATAAATGAACCAAATACAAGTAGAAATGAAATAAAAAGAATAAATCGACTTCCTATGATATAAAAAGATTTAATCTTATTTATATAATTCAACAACATACCAATTTGTCCAATACTATTGTTATTATCATTATCATAACCGCGAACTTGAGCATTTGATACACAATTGCTTCTGATTTAAATTCAACGAAGAAATTTAATTATTCAAAAAGAAAAACTGTTTGAATTCAACTTACAAAATAAGTGCTAATGTAGCTATTACACCAATAATAAGATAAACTTTATTAAAATCAGTTTGTGTAGGATATTGACAAATCATATCAATGACAATCCACCAACCGATTGCAAACTAAATAAAAAGATTTTATGAGAAAAAAAAACAATCATTCTCGATTTCATACAAAAACTCCCGATAGAATTGTAATAATTCTATTTCGATTAAGACGTTTACATAACTTGAAACCATCGTTATTAGAACTAAACATTTTTCCTAAATTCAATTGAAATTCATTATTCATTCATTCGTTGTAAAATTTATTTAATCCAATCAAAATTACATGTAACTAGCGCGACGCTCTGATTCGAAACAAAGAGAGAGGTCGAAAGAAAGACAGAAAAAAATCAACAACAGTTATCAATGGAGAATTTTCTTTTTAATTCATCATGTCGTTATTATTAACAATTGTTCCAATTATTCGATCAGTATTTTCACGATGGACAGCTTTACAATTAGCTGTTATACATTCAATGGGTGGTTCAGAAACTCAAGCTAAATATGAAGCATTTATTGAAGCATTTGGTGAATATCTTACACGAAATATTCAATCATCATCACTAATATCTGCTAATGAAAATAATATTCAAGAGTATCTTGATGAAATTCTTGATGAAGAATTTAATACAGTTTTAGATGATGGTTCAAGTTATGAATTAGCACTATTATTTGTTCGTTATATTGATTTAATTTTACAAGGAAAATTAAATGACGTTCAACAAGAATTACAATTACAAAATTCAATTATTTCACCTGTTCAAATGTCTATTCGAAATGACAATAATAATGATAACGAGGATTCATTATCATCAAGTGAAAGTGAAAATGATATGATTAAAGAAGAAATTGAAATAGAAAAACCAAAAACACAATCAATGGATATTGATGAAGATGGATGGACAACAGTTCGCCGACGAAATGGAGAAAAAAAATAAATAAAACAAAAAAAAAAGCGATCAATCTTGTTTTCCGTTGAAAGTTTTATTTTTAATTTATTATTACATTAAAAAACAGAAGATAGTTCTATTTCTAGATGAGTATATTTCGTTTTGGACATGCTGAATATTCAATAAATTTTTTTCTTGCATCAAGTTTAATGTTTTTAAGTACATGTTGTTGTATATCAGCATTTGCATCACCTTATTGGACAAAACGTTATCAAGATACACCAAAAGATTTTCAAAATATTGGCTTATGGGAATTATGTTTATATAAATATCGTCATTATAAAGATGATTTACAAATACCTTATACAGGTTGTTTTTGGTTTTGGACAAATGAAATGTATCGTTTTCGAGATTGGATTATTCCATGTAAAATTTTTCATTATAAAAACATAAAAAAAATAGAATTTATTGTTGATTTTTTTTCTTATTTAGCTTGGTTTAAATGGGTACAAGCATTTGCTACTTTAGGATTAATTTTTACAATAATGACTATTTCAAGTTTAATTGTAGCAGTTTTTTCATCATTTCGTTGGCAATGGAGATATCAATTAGTTGTGTGTATTATGTCATTTGTTATTTGTAAGTATTTTTTTATTTGTAAAATATGAAATTTAGTGAGTTGTTTATTTTAAACAAATAGTTTAAGGTTCTTTCCAAACCGTAGGGATGAGTTTGATATGATTTTGAATTCGTCAATGATGATAACGTATATTTTTCTGTTCTAGTTGTGTGTGAACTGATTGCTGTGTGTGTCTATGGTCTTTATAGTCAAGATCGTCTTTGGATGCCACGACCAGAATTTAATTATTTATCCTATAGTTATTGGTTGGAATGCACAGGACTTTTTTTTGCTTTCTGTGCTTGTAAGTTTCTATTTGAAAAAACGCATCAACTGACGAGAGAGAAGTCATCCAACTGAGAAATTACTTTTGAGTCGAAACAATGTGTATTGAGTCGATCCAAATGACTTACGAATACGTTGAAAAGAGTTCGTACACTTAACTTATTGCTGTGAAGATGCTGTACTATTACGAGAATTTTTTAAACGAATGCCATGGTTCTTCTCAGAAACATTAGGAAAACTTATTTTCGAATTTTGACTTGACACTTTGCATAGAAACAGCCTTTAATCAGAGTAGTTTCCGATCTTTTGATTTGTTTCCACCCTGAAACTAGAACATAATATGTGCCAATGTATATGAGCGATGTACAAGACATGCTATTACTATAGTTGTATCTTAGGTTTGGAGCAACGACAAGATCTGAAACTACTCTTGTTAAAGGCTGTCTCTATAAAAAGTGTCAAGTCAAAATTCAAAAATGAGTTTTCCTAGTGTTTTCTAGGAGAACCATGGCATTCGTTTAAAAAAATTCCGTAGAAATGTAGTATCTTTGCAGCAATAAGCTAAGGTAACGAACTGTTTTCGGTGTGTTCATAACTCATTTGGAGGACTTTTTTCGTAAGATTGAAAATATGTTTGCTTATTCGATTAGGTGTATTATTTGCTGGTGAAATTCAATTTCTACGTGAATATACTGAAGATTATATGGATGAAATGTATCATCACAAAGATTTTCCTTATTCATTACCCAATGGTTCTCATCTGCAGTTAACTGAAGGTCATGGTCGTTTATCACGATCTCATTTGTAAATATTGTGTTAATATCTACATGTAATTTGCATTATTTGTAATCTTAGTTTTTTCTAATGCAATCTTTGACATTTTAAGGTTCTATAAACTTAAACGTTTTTGTTTGTAGTTTTCTATTTGTGTTTTTTTTTTGTGTATTGATTGAGTAATGGCTTCATGTTAGATATAGATTCAGATATACAATAACAAAAATAAAACAAATACGAACACTTTCGTTGTATTTAAGTAATGGTATCGTTATATTAAACAAATTATACATATGATTTATTGAGATAGAGAGACAAAGATTGATTTTGACTTGAGATTGATTGAAATTCACTCAAATTTAAATGTCATAAAACGATTTATTCTATGATACTTTCAAAGATAGAATCGAATTCAATTCGAAGTGGTTAGAAAATAAATGTGATCAGTTTGATAAAAATTTTTATTGTGGTCTGATTTTTTTTCCGAACTTTGTAGCCGTTTTGAAAGCTGATGTATCTTATTATTGTCCATTTCAGAGTTAAATGGCTGTGGGCATTCTTTGAATGACTTTAAAATAGAAAGAGAGAAGTAAGCCGAAGTTTTTGTAGTATCTAGAATTGACACTGCTCTATCTTTTTACAAAGTCGATGAAAATTTTCCAGTCGCTTTTCTTCGTGGATACGTGATAAGCTTTGAAGATGAGCTTAATTCGCTTTGGAAATAACATACTTTCTCAACTAAAATATAATGGGTAGATAGCCTAACTTCTCCTCTATCGATCTACATAACACCGAGATCAATAACTGTTTGCATTGAAAAGATATGAAGACTTTCTGAAAGTTTCTCACGAAATTTTTTCAAAATCATAGCAGCTATCACATATTGTCTTTTATAAGTTTTTAGTGGTCTTCGACTTCGTAACATAATTCATTAATCTTTGGAGTTTTCTTTTCTACGAAAAGTATGATCGAAGAGCATTCATTGGACGGTAGTGTGTGGAATGTAGAAGTAGTGCAGGTATGAACGTGAACATAGGTGTTGTTTTTTTCTTCAGCCATCGTCCCACCCATATTTCTCTAAAGAGATACTATGCCTTGAATCCTACACTAGAAGTGTTAAACTTGAAAGTTGAATTCAATTATTCAACTATTCAATGATTGAAGTAAAGATACTCAAATATTCAACTAGTCTAAGATGTTATAGGCATCACCTAGAATGCTACAGGCGCTGTGTACACAGAGGCATGCATGAGTCGCAGTTCTTCATGGGAAGCGCTTCGCTCCCCCACGCCGCGACGTTGCTATGAAAGGTCAGTTAGACGGAGAAAACCGTTTCGTCCTGGTAAATATTCATGATAACAACTTTGAGTTATGAAATCAATAAAAAGAAAATGAAACATCAATTACTTGTTAGGCGCGTCCATCTTTCACGTCACCAATAATTGAATAGTTAAATTCAACTATGTATAAGACAAAGATGAAGTTCGATACCAATGACACTCAAAAATCTAACAATGTTCATATTACTGCTAGAGAAAGTAACTAGCTACATATATAGCATAATCTTCAATTATGTCAGCATTATTTTCATATCCATCTGATTCAATCAGTTCCTTTTCTACTTAAAAAAATGCTCTTTAAAACAAACTAAGCTTCGAAATTTCACCGCAAACTGTGTGACAATAAAAACGGAAAATATTCATAGTAAAGGCCTGGGGGGTTCACCAATGTTCGGCTCCATCAGATTTGGCTAGTTTTGATGTACTTCCTGCTTTCCCCTTTACTTTGATATCCTTTGTGAATGGTGCTGTTTTCTACTGACGCTCTATTTTTTTTTGGCTTTGTTGCTAATACCTTGTTATTTTGCATTTTCGTATTCATTTGTGCTTAGTTTAGCAATTTTATTATTTTAATCATTTGTTTAATTATCAAAGAAGTTTGTTGTACATATTTATTGCATCTACAGGAGGTCTCAATGCACTATTATCTATCTCAATACGTTCACAAACACTGATATTGATTATTTTTCGAAGTTATAACTTGATCAGTTTACGTTTTTTTTATTTTGATCATATGACGATTGTGGCAAATCAATGCATAATTCTCCATCATCCTTGATCTCTTCGATATAAATTTTTTATTTGCACAAAAAACAAAACACTGAACATAAATGTTTTTCAACTATTGGAATTTCAAAGAAGCAAACAATCTAACTCTTGTTATTAATGACGTTCAATGTCCATCTTTTTTTGTTTGCTAAGGAATTCTGGGAAAGAAGTCTAATGCTTGTTGCCTTCGGTTGTTATGAACACTTGTTCCATGACTATTCGCCTTTATCTCCTCTCCTTCTACCATTGCTAGAGCCTAGGAAGAAGAAGAGAGCCGGAAAAACTTCCATTTAAACTTACATTCAATATTTTCTTCGAAAAAAAAAACATATATAGATTTCATAAAACTAGGGATGCACCAGTCCCAGTTCTGACTGGTGAACTGGATCCCAGTCGGACTGGGTATCCGGTCCGACTGGGTACTGAGTCCTTTGATCTTTAGTCCATTAGTCGAGTAGTACTTTCTTCTTTTCTAGTATATTGTCATACAGTGATTCTTAGGCTGTTGAAGTACTGATATAAACTATAACACTGAATCCATTGGCTAATCATATATATCTATATATCAATCGTTATAATTTAGGATACTATAAATAAATTTCATGTCTTCATGGTGTGGGTGTGGCAAGGGTGTAGGTGTGGGTGTTATTTGGATGGATGTGGGAGTGGATGTTATTTGTATGTGGGAATAGTTAGCATGACAATAACGACACCCATACCAACATCAAATCCACCCCCACCCCCACATCCTTAGAAAAGGCGGAAGTACTGATCGATTAGCGGAATAAACGTCAAATGACTAAGTACCCAGTCGTGACTGGGTGTCCAGTCAGACCGGGTATCTGGTCGGACTGAGTACCCAGTCCGACTGGAACCCAGTTACTGGCACTGGTGCACCCCTACAGTGGCAGAACTATCAAGAAGTACGAAGTACACGTGTCTTCCCTCGAAGTGAGCTCTCCTCACAATACGTTGTAATAAATGTTGTATGAAATATATCTCTACACCAACGGAGGTACCCGGCGTTGGCCGGGAAAGTTCAATCTTAATATATGCAAGCAAAACTTCTATTGCGCTCGAGAACATGTAAGAAAACCTAATTAGTGGAGAATAGACACACATAAAATCCTATTTTTTGTCCCGGTCTTGGTCCGGCTCTTGGACGTATTTTAAGTCTCAATCGCGGGTGCTCTCGCTTTCGGCGAATATGAAAATATTGACATTGAAAAATTCATCAGAAGGGAGGATTCTTCATCCTTACACGTCGAAATCTAGGAGAGCTTGGTGAAACTTATGAGTACTATCCACTTTTTATTTTAGCCAAGCATTTATAAGAGCACATACTTGTCTCGATCATCCTCCGATCCCAATTGGCCTTGATCGCGCTTGGTGGCGTTTCCGGTTCCGGAGTTGCCTAGTTGTGTTTCTAGTGGGAAGCCCGCACGAACAATCGATTCTTCGACAGCGTTACAAAAAATCAGCTTTGATGGAAACTAAGCGCAACGATACATCTAATTGATCTAGGATGTCGCGTTCACAATACCCATTGATCGGGAGAATAATGACGATATATCATGGTTTGTACTACTGGAATCACACTGAATTCCGATTGATTGCAAAGAAAGACAGACAGAAAGATTTTTGTGGGCAGATCCTTTCGCAACCATAGGAGTCAATATCTATGATGAACAAATTTTGAGCCTTATAGACTATTTATTCGAAATCGTCGCTTCACACGACTTCCAGGAGACCGATTTCTCCAAAACTCGATTTGTATATGACATGGATCACCCAGTAGGGCCACGGGTGCTCCAGTAGGGTATCAAGTTCAATACACTTCTGATTCCTAATGTCCTTCTTCCGATCATTCACTCACAGTCGTTTTCCCAAAAACTCGATCCCTATTGGTTTCGGGCTAACCGATAAGGTTTTGAAGTGATTGGATCCCTAATTCGAACTCATCGCCTCTGAAAGCCCCTACCTGACTTTTTCGAAAATGCAAGTTTGATCAGCTAGTTTCTTTGCAGCTGAATTCCTATCGGTTTTCGGCCAACCAATCGGATTTCGAGGCAATTGGACTCCAGATTTAAGCTCAGTACCCTCGAAAACCTCTGGGCACATGTCTTGTGCTTGCACACAACGTGCCGCTCAGCAGTTCTTCGATACTACCGAATGCTGCAATCTCATTAGTCAGACAACTAGGCAGCCCTGTTGCAGGTGGAGTGCCGGTGTTTTTTCGACAAAAAGTAGTCGTTAACCTTCTCCTGGATGAGAGGAGGATTCTTGAAAAGTTTAGTTACATTTGCTCATACTATGTCCAAATGCATAAAGAACAGACAAACAGACAAACAAACTTTCTTCTTTATATATTAGATAAGGGACTCTTGACTTTTTCGTTTTGTTTGTGACAAAACGGAAGTATTATTTCTGCATGCATCAATTTATTCTAGAAACATTTGTTTTAATGAATGTTTAACTTGACTATAAAGTGAGGTTCTATAATATCTTAAATGAAATAATTGGATTTTTTTCAGTTCAAACTACTCACAAAGGATTTTTTTCATGTTTTCAAGACAGATTACAAAGAATCTTATTCGTTGTGTAAAATGCATTCATTAGTAGTAGATATTAATTTAGTTTTATACAATCTAATAAAAAATGTCTCGTAGATATCACATATAAATTTTAACGTTAGTCTATTGACTTACCAAGAAATCAAAGAATAATATCAAATTCTTTCACAAAACAAAATACAGTTTAGGCTTATTTTTTTTTATTCATTGGATTTAAAGAAAATTTCTCAAATTATTTATGTGATGATCTTTGACAAACATACAAGCATGAATTAACTTTTGAATTTATGTTTTTCTTCGAAATATCACATCAAATTATTAGAAATAAATTGTTTTCGCCTTTTATTGAAACCAAATCAAAGCCAAATAGATTAGTATTGTCTTGGCAGATTTATTTTGCATGAATCTATTATTTGGATAAATTGACCTTTTTGATAATCAATACTTGCTTTCATTCTCTTTCTATTTTATCTTTCAATATGATAGATATTACTCAAAAAAAAACCAGCAGGTGCACAAAATTACATATTGATATCATCATTCCTTATATTAGACACACGCAATAAAACAAAATGATAACAACTATGATTCTATCTATGATATTCCTTCATCCCTATAATTTTGCTGTTATTGTTAGTATTATTTTACTTGTTACATTAATTTGTATTTTTCTCTATGTACATCGATTGTATAATAAAAAAAGAAGTGAAACTGTTATTATTGAAAAACATTTATTATATTCATCTCCTACATCAATAACACCAAATCGTTTCATTTTTCCATTATCAAAATTACCAAACACTGATAAAATTGAAACAAATACAGAATCAACACCTAAAATCACTCGTAATATATTAACACAATGTTCCATTAATGAAATATCACCTAATTATAGAACATTTGATTTAACTAAACAAGCATCTTCTGATTCATCAGAGGAAAGTTCAATTCATCGTCACTCACAACCTCCATCATTTTCATTCGGTAAAATTAAATCAAAATTTCAACAAGTTCATTCAACATCATCACCAATTTCTTCTTATCCTCAAGGAAATATAAATTCAGAAGAAAGATCAATTGTATCATCTGATTCTGATGATATAGATAATGAAATATTAGCTTCAGAAATATCTTCATTTGAATATTCTCTTGTTGAATTATTTCGTATTGAATTAATTTATAAATTATATTATTTAATAAATAATAATCAACTTGTATTTCAAATTGTACGATTAACACCAATGCAATCATTAATTGAACAATGTTTTCCATCACTTCTATGTAAAATACGTTTATTTACAGATAATGATAAACATAAAAATAAAAAATATTCATCAAAAAAAGATCCAATTAATGATTTATTTAAATTTGATTTAGAACAATTTGATTTAGAAAAAAGTTATTTAAAATTACATATATTAGGATATGATAAAAATGGTAAACATTTTGAATTAGGTCAAACTGTTCTTGTTATTAATCAACATAATCAAGTAATGATTAGATCGGAAAATCATAATTATGGTGAAGATTTAATAATGTCTAAACAATATACAAAATCGATTCAAATTTATGAAGATCGTATTGATATGATTATTCGACAACAAGTATGATTAAATTGTACTTTTTTTTTTATTATTAAATTTTTCATTTTTTTGTTTATTTTTAAAGACTAAAGTTGCAAATGAAGCTCGTGCATTAATTTGTTTAGTTTATGAAAGTGATCGATGTCTTCTTCATGTTGGTGTAATTAAAATACATGGTATTCAATATCTTTTTAAACAATCAACAAATCATTTTCATCATCGAGGTATTTATTTTTTTATTTCATTGTATTTAAACAAAAAAAAAATTTCAATCATTAAATAGATCAAATTCAAATTCAAATTTGTACAATAGTTGATGAAAAAATAACAGGAAAAAGAAAATCAAAATTAATTCCAATTACGAAAGGTATTTGTACATTTAGTACATCATTTCATTTTGATTATGTTTCACTTCATAAAACATTAATACGTATAACAATATTTTATCGACGATCATTAATTAGTACACATGGTAAACCAATATCAATGATTGAATTTGGTTCAACACAATTAAAAAATCAACAAACTTTTCAACATTGGACTGATACTTTATCATCACCAGATCGACCACATGTTCATTGGCATATACTTGAATTGATACATACAATCAATGAAAAATAGAATTCTTTTCTTTTTCGGGTAATTTTTATTGTCTGATTTGGAAAATAAATGAGGAAATATATGGATACATAAAAAAATGAATCTTATTATTTTTATTCGACTTGTGCAATTACATGATAAAACATTGAACGGTATTTATCAATGAAAATGTTTATAGTTTAAATGCACTGAATCTTTTCTTTGTAACGTTGTATCTAACTAACAGTTCATTTTCTTACTTTCTACATTTGTCAACTTGTGTAGTACACGTAACAATCCAAGGCTTTTTATTTCTTTAGTAGTAGTATAGCTAATCCCAAGTAACTCTTATTTTGATGATCTATGATTTTAAACTGTCTTGTTTATTAAACTATTTATAAAGTATTTAAATATATCAAAATCGTATTCTTTGTATACCAGTCTCATTAAAGAACGCTTGAATAAAATTATTCATTGTTGTTCACTTCAGATTGTTTTCTACCATTCATGAACTGCAATATCCAATATCAGTTTGAATTCAGAAAACGTTAACATTTCTGTCCAGAACATTGATGTGACGAAAAAAAAGTGCGTAGCGGAGTGCACATACAACTTTTTAACATTGGAGGGATACAATTGTTCTTTTTTATCCTACGAGTTCTTTTCGATAGAGAAATCGGCTTTTTGCTGCACAAAAAATTAAAATCTTCCCGAAAGTGACGTATGCAGCCTCCGCATGGGCAAGTTTCCTATTCATAGCCAAACTTAATGATATTTTTTTTTTCAGAAGACTTCTATCAGCTAACACTTGCTCTCTTTTCGACTCACCATCGACAGGTAAAAGAAAGCTTGTTTCCATGCTGACTATTGGAAAAGGTAGCTGCAGGGAATACATTTATATTCATTTTTTTTATTGCTTTGATTGAATGTCATATATAAATGACATAGAACAGATCGTCTTCAAACTTTTGATGAAACAATTGTTTTTAGCTGTTATTGAATGCTAATTATGCTAATATAATCATTTCAATTCTTCACACATCAGTACATGTCATATGGATATAGAACTCTCAACTTAGTAACATTTTAACTCTTGATGAGTTCTCCTTATGATGAGAAAATCATACCAATTCTGTGACAAGATGTTTTCATCGGCATTCCACATTATATCTATGTAACCTATATAAGGAAATAGTTATGAGGTATATTTTTATAATCATTTTTTGATTTTAAATCAAAATCATATATAACGTTTTGTTCAAAATTCAATTCTCTGTCGAATGGAATGTAAATTGACTATCGAATTCTATGAAGTCTGATCTTAATATCCTCCTTCTTTTCAGGATCACAAAGATGTTCATCTGATGAAACACTAAAATAAGATGAAAGTTTTACCAATCAAGCTGCAACTTACACAAGTCATTACTAACTTTGAATTTTGCAATTGTTGAAAATTTCGCATTAAAACCACCTGTGTTTTGTAATAAAGCCGAATGACCTGTAATCGTTCTTCGTCTTAAAGATAGACTATTTTTGAGTTTAATTTATAAAGAGAGTAGAACCGATATGAAAAATTTAGTGACACTCGGTCGTAAGATAGATTTTATTGGATTGTCCATCTCAAAATGTAAATCTAGTAAAATTTTCAGAACTCCAGCTCATACTGATGAAGAGATAGCATAAAAATATCTCAGTAAAAGACTATTCATTAGGTTTACAAATACATCTTCATAAAAGAAACGAACATGACTAGAATAAACTGGAATAGTTGGAAATTGGAAGAAAGAATCGCATTGTTCAAGAAATTCATAAGTTGAATTGCTCATTAGCCATGTTTCACACGAAGTTTCATTAACTTGCTTGCTGAGTCTAGTCAGACAGATCATACCAAACCAGTATTTATCTGTTAAGTGATCTTTAACTGTCATTTGGTTAACGACTAATTCTTGACAACCATTATGACAATTTTGAAAGTTAAATACACATTTTTCATTTACACACTAAAGTGATTCTTCATCCGCTCTGCAAGTATGTTCTTCACAGCGAAATGCTGGATCTTGAAAATAGAATTCTGTATAGGAGATGTCTGGTAATTCAGCCGATCGATCGATACAATTCGCAACGCCTTGTCCTTCTCCCCAGACC